TTACGGGCGTCTGTGGTTGGGCTCTATCAAGCATTAGACTGCTTATTTCTCGTTAGCCTGCTCTGATTGTATTTCTTCATTTATGTTGGTCAGATGATGTATCCAACCATCAGAGCAACGTCTGAACTAGATAAGGAAATTGTAATGATTAGGGCCAGTGAAGCAATTTGAGAAAAAAGGGGTTTTTTTTGTTGCCTGACGCTGTACTTTCAACAATACTCTCGCCATGACGATGGGCCATAAACGCGAGTGACACCAAAACCATTTACATTATATCAGAAGCAATTTTGGAAGGACAAAGAGTTGGGTTTAGAGTCGCATTGAACATAATTAAATGTAATATTAGTTCGTGTTAGCGTAATGAAATACGGAACTAATGTAGGTATTTAATGTTCCAACTATTGCGTATGGAACCGACAAACCTAGATACATAATCCTGAGTAATCTGGGAAAGCCTTCCACGATCACAGGATACTGGCACTCCTACATGATTTAACTCTAGGTCGCGGGTTATAAAAGCCTTGGATTGACCGGCCCTGGTACAAGCTGGAGAAGAGAATTAAATGACAGAGATTCAATTTGTTAGTAGAAATGTACTGCTACCGTAAGCACTTAGAACGATCGGTAACAGCTCCGATAACATTAGCACCGCCAATACTACCACCAGCACGACCACCAGCACTACCACCACCACCACCGACAATACTAGCACAACGACGACGTCCAACACAGTTAATACTACCACTAGCACGGCGACCAGCAACGTCAAGACTACCACAAGCACCAGAACGGAAAAATACAACCACCTGCACAACCACCACCAACAACACTACCACCAGCATCAACACCAGCACCAGCATCCGCACCAGCACCACCAACACCAGCACCACCAATACCAGCACCAGCAATTCAGCACCACCAGCACAACCAACAATACTACCAACCAGCACTACACCAATACCAGCACCACCAATACTACCGCCACCAGCAGCACCAACACCAGCACCACCACCACCACCACCAGCACCAGCACACCAATACTACTACCACCACCACCACCAGCACCAATACACCACCAGCACCACGACCAGCACCAGCACCACCAATACTACCACCAGCACCAGCACCAGCACCACCACCACTACCACTAGCACCAACACCAGCACCACCAATACTACCACCAGCACCAGCACCAGCAATACTACTGACCAGCACCACCACTACCACCAGCACCAGCCAGCACCACAATACCACCAGCACCAACCAGCACCACCAATACACCAACACCAGCACCACCACCAGCACCACCAATACTACCACCAGCACCAGCACCATCACTACTACTACCAGCACCACCAGCACCACCACTATTACCACCACCAGCACCAATACTACCAGCACAGCACCAGCACCAGCACCACCAATACTACCACCAGCACCAGCACCACCACCACCACCACCAGCACTACCAATACTACCACCACCAATACTACCACCACCACCAGCACCACCACCATGCTACCAGCAGCACCAGCACCAGCACCACCAATACTACCACCAGCACCAGCACCACCAATACTACCACCAGCACCAGCACCACCAATACTACCACCAGCACCAGCACCACCAATACTACCACCACCACCAGCACCACCACCAATACTACCACCAGCACCAGCACCACCAATACTACCACCACCACCAGCACTACCAATACTACCAGCACCAGCACCAGCACCACCAATACTACCACCAGCACCAGCACTACCACTACCAATACTACTACCACTACAGCACCAGCACCAATACCACCACCACCAGCACCACCAATACTACCACCACCTAACAGCACCAGCACTTAGCACCACCACCAGCACCACCACTACCACCACCACCACCACCAATACTACCAGCACCAGCACCACCAATACTACCACCAGCACCAGCAATAACTACCAGCACCAGCACCAGCACCAGCACCAGCCACTACCAATACTACCACCACACCAGCACCAGCACCAGCAATACTACCACCACCACCACCAGCAATAGCACCAGCAATACTACCAGCAACTCAGCACCAGCACCAATACTACCACCAGCACTAGCACCACTGCTACCCAGCACCAGCACCAAATAATACTACTAATTTCACCATGCACTACCACTACTACCACACTACCACCACTAATACCACCAGCACTAGCACCAGCACTACTACTACCACCAGCACCAGCACCATCAGCACCACTACTACTACCACCACCAGCACCACCACCAGCACCACCTACTACCAACCAGCACCAGCACCACCAATACTACCACACCAGCACTAACACCAGCACCACCAGTACCAGCACCAGCACTACCAATACTACTACCACCAGCACTAGCACCATTCTACCACCAGCACTAGCACCAGCACCAGCACCACCAATACTACACCAGCACCAGCACCACCAATACTACCACCACCACCAGCACCAGCACCACCAATACTACTACCACCAGCACCAGCACCACCAATACTACCACCAGCACCAACACCAGCACCAGCACCAGTACCAGCACCAGCACCACCAATACTACCACCAGCACCAGCACCAATACTACTACCACCACTACCAACACCACACACTAATACTACCACCAGCACCAGCACTACTAATACTACCCAGCACCAGCACCAGCACCACCAATACTACTAGCACCAGCACCAGCACCACCAATACTACCACCAGCACCAACACCAGCACCAGTACCAGCACCAGCACCACCAATACTACCACCAGCACTACCAATACTACTACCACCACCAGCACCACCAATACTACCACCACACCAGCACCAGCACCACCAATACTACCACCACCAGCACCAGCACCACCAATACTACACTACCACCACCAGCACTACCAATACTACTACCAGCACCAGCACCAGCACCACCAATACTACTACCACCACCACACTACTACCACTACCAGCACCAGCGCCAGCACCAGCACCACCAATACTACCACCAGCACCAGCACCACCAATACTACTACCACCACCAGCACCAGCACCACCACTACACTACCAGCACCAGCACCAGCACCACCACCAATACTACCACCAGCACCAACACCACCAATACTACCACAAGCACCAGCACCACCACCAATACTACCACCAGCACCAGCACCAGCACCACCACCACCAATACTACCACCACACAGCACTACCAATACTACTACCAGCACCAGCACAACCAATACTACTACCAGCACCAGCACCACCAATACTACTACCAGCACCAGCACCAGCAATACCAATACTACTACCAGCACCAGCACCACCACCAATACTACTACCAGCACCAGCACCAGCACCACCAATACTACCACCAGCACCAGCACCACTAATACGCCACCAGCACCAGCACCAGCACCACCACTACTACTACCAGCACCAGCACAACCAATACTACTACCAGCACCAGCACCAGCACCACCAATACTTCCACCAATACTACCACCACCAGCACCACCACCAACTAATACCAATACCACTACCAGCACTTAGCACAGCACCAGCACCACCAATACTACAACCAGCACCAGCACCACCAATTTCACCACTAGCACCAGCACCAGCACCACCAATACTACTACCACCACCAGCACTACCAATACTACCGGCAACAGCACCACCAATACTACAACCAGCACCACCAGTACTACCACCAGCACTACCAATACTACTACCAGCACCAGCACAACCAATACTACCACCAGCACCAGCACCACCAATACTACAACCAGCACCACCAATACACCACCAGCACCAGCACCAGCACTACCAATACTACCACCAGCACCAGCACAGCACCAATACTACTACCACCACCACCAGCACCACAACCAATACTACCGGCACCAGCACCAATACTACCACTACTACAACCAGCACCATACTACTACAGCACCAGCACACCACCAATACCACACCAGCACCACCAATACTACTACCAGCACCAGCACTACCAATACTACCAGCACCAGCACCAGCACCACCAATACTACAACCAGCACCACCAATACTACCACCAGCACCAGCACAAGCAATACTACCACCAGCACCAGCACAAGCAATACTACCAGCACCAGCACCAGCACCACCAATACTACTACCACCACCAGCACCACCAATACTACCCAGCACCAGCACCACCACCAATACTACCACCAGCACCGGCACCAGCACAACCAATACTACCACCAGCACCAGCACCAGCACAACCAATACTACCACCAGCACCAGCACCACCAATACTACTACCAGCATTAGCACCAGCACCAGCACCACCACTACTACTACCACCAGCACCAGCACCACCACATACTACTACTACCAGCACCAGCACAACCAATACTACTACCAGCACCAGCACCAGCACCAGCAATACTACCACACAGCACCAGCACCAGCACCACTACTACTACTACCAGCACCAGCACCAGCACAACTACTACTTACTACCAGCACCAGCACCACCAATACTACTACACCAGCACCAGCACCAGCACAACTAATACTACTACCAGCACCAGCACAACCAATACTATCACCAGCACCAGCACCAGCACCACCAATACTACTACCACTACCAGCACCAGCACCAGCACCAGCACCACTAATACTACTACCAGCACCAGCACCAGCACAACCAATACTACTACCAGCACCAACACAACCAATACTATCACCAGCACCAGCACCAGCACAACCAATACTACCACCAGCACCAGCACCAGCACCAGCACCACCAATACTACCACAAGCACCAGCACCAGCACAACTAATACTACCACCAACACCAGCACCACCAATACTACCACAACCACCAACACAAGCAATACTAGCACCAGGTCCAGCACCACCAATACTACCACAAGCACCAACACCAGCACCACCGAAACTACCACCAACACCAGCACCACCAATACTACCACTAGCACCAACACCAGCACCACCAATAGTACCACCAACACCAGCAGCACCAGTACTACCACAAGCACCAGCACCACCAATACTACTAGCAGCACCACCAATACTACAAGCAGCACCAGCACCGGCACCAACACCAGCGCCACCAATACTACTACCAGCACCACCACCACCAATACTACCTCACCAGCACCAACATCAGCACCACCAATACTACTACCAGCACCGCCAATACTAACACCAGCACCAACACCAGCACCGCCAGTAGTACCAACAACACTGCTAAAACTACCACAACCACCAGCACCATCAGCACAACCACCAACACCGACAATACTACCATCAGCAGCATCAGCTCCACCACCACCACTACAACTACCACAGCACAGCCAGCAAAACCAACACTACCACCCACCCAGACACCAGTCGCCACACTTACAGCAGCATCAGCTCGCCAAACAAGGATGTTTGATGTGAACATTGCGTTGGTAATATTACAAAGCAAACTCTATATCTGTAAACAAAAAATATCTACGTGACGTTTATTGTCATCATGGTCGCTTGATCCAATAGTTCGCTTGCTAATACAAGAATGATCCGTTAAAGGCCATGTATACTTATATAAGCTCGTTACCCTTCTTTCTGCGGTTATAAATCTCACTTGACATTTACATTGACTTCTCAAACAGTGTGCTGTATCTGGTCCTGCATCCCATTACTTATGTGAAATTAATACCAATGGGTCCACACTCCGGCACAGCGATAACTTAACATAACATCACTGCCACAGGCTAATTTGCATATCACGTGACCGGACTTTTCTCTTGTTTGTAATCAAACGAGCATATTCATAATAAGAAGAGACTGGACTCACGAAAGCTTTTCGGCGCTCTCTTCATAATGTTTTACATTGTTACATATATATTCTTCCACAACTGCGACAGTTAGGTCTATGACAGTACATATGTAGATATCAAACTGGCTGCATCGTTTGCTCTCCGTCGGCTTCGATGACAGCACGTGGAGCCGTACAACCTATGTAAACAAAGGATCGCTACGCAAATCGAAATAGTGTTACCTGTTTTTGGATATTTTCTCAGTGAAACTAAACCATTCTATTAAAGATGTTTAGTTAGATGTGTAGACTCGTCAAAAATAAAAGAGTAAAAGAAATTTGTACATTATAATGAATGGACATTGCAAGATGTGACGAATCGTCACATTTTTCTGGCCTGTGGCAGAGGTACTATGCTGGCTTGCCGCATGGAACTCTGGGTAGGAGAGTGCAATGGGTCTTCTATTACGCGAAACGCTATTCTACAGCATCAAAACAGCAAGCCAATAACCGGTAAGTGTTCGATCTTACTTACTATAGTATCTATCTTCGGTCATTTTGACGGCCTACTTTCAGTTATAGGGCCACCGCATTCATATATCGTGACCTTCTTGTATATATTTAAAAAATACATTTCGCTCTATCCCCATGCATAGTGGAATAGAGTACGCCTGAACTATTATAGTAAAAGGACGAGGGCAAAAGCCTTAGGGCAAAAAATACTTTATTACACTATACATTGAGGTAGGTCGAACTGTATTTCTTTTCTAAGATGTCAAATTTGATACACACAGGAAATAATCTAGGCCGAAATAAAACAGAAAAGCGACGGTGTCGGTGACCTAAATCAACAATCCTCGTTCAGGGCTAACTGACGGGCTCTTCCATTGACGTGTCTGCACCCCTATGTTAAGACGTACGTAGTCGTGAACACAAATGATAAACAGTTTGAAAACGGTTTACGTTCGGGTTAAATATCTTCTTTTTATTATTGCATACTAAGCAGCAAAAGAAACATCAGTTTGGAATTTTCCTTCGCATATACGGATAACTGCAAACCCATTTAATGTTTTGATTGTATATTTTTAACAACATCTCCAACTTTACCTGAGAAAAGACATTCCTCCCCAGCCCTATAAAATGCACCCCCAAACCTGGTTTAAACATTCACATTACAACGTCAGCAGGATGCCACGACTCAAGACAGCTCAGAGGAACCAGGCGCTTGGAAGACTTGAAGCTGGCCACACTGCACAAGCCGTTGCTTCCAGGTCAACGTTCGGACCATCTACAGGTTGCAGCAACGTTTATGGGCCACCAACACCAAAAATGATCGCCCCCGTACTGGCAGACAAAGGGGTGACCACAAGACAACAAGACCGCCATGTTGTGCGACAGCATGTACAGAATCCCTTCATGCAGGCATCCGAAACAGCACGCCAGACAGTGGGAAGACGGAAGACCAATCAGTACTGATACAGTATGCCGACGTCTTAACAGACATTACCGTGGACCTATCGTCACCCCTCGTCATCGGCGTGAACGTCTACAGTTTGCCCTACAACACCAAAACTGGCGATACTAGCAGTGCAGGCAATGGAGAACTGTTCTGTTCACAGATGAGAGTCGGTACTGCGTATCAACTGCAGATGGCAGAACAAGAATATGGCGACGACGTGGCCAGCGTTACTCAGACCAATGTGTTATGGAAAGAGATTCATGGGGAGGTGCAAGCATCATGGTATGGGGTGGAATAGGCCTGAACCAGAGAGTGGGTCCTGTGGTGTTCCAGAACCTTGGTCCAGGGAGAGGAGGCGGCATCACTACGGTGCGCTCTCAGACCCCACGTCATACCACATTTCGCACGTCACCGGAACAACATTTTCCAGCATGATAACGCCCGGGCCCATACTGCCAGAGCTACACGGGACTTCCTACAGCAGAACGGTGTCAACATTATGCAGTGAACAGCCCTTAGTCCTGATTTAAACCCAGTTGAACATCTTTGGGATGAAATTCAGAGGAGACTGAATAATGTCATACCAAGGCCGAACACAGCCGATTTATTGCGACATGCCTTTTTCAGAGTGTGGTTCCAGGTGCCAATAGCCTTCATCAATCGATTGGTGCACTCCATGCATAGACGCTGTGCTGCAGTTATTGCCGCTCGTGGTGGTCCCACTAAAGTCCGTTTGTGACAAAATGATACCGATGAATTGCAATCCAACACAAAAACAAATAGATATAAAAGAATCAAACCAACGCGGACTGCAAGAAAAACAACAGACCAACTCTAGAAATAAAATGTATAATTTTTTTCACAAAAATATAAAAGTTGTTTAAGAAACTGTCATCATTTATTTGTGCGTTTTCCAAGTTTGTTACAAGGGCGCATTGGCAATAAAAGACCCCAGTCCGTCTGAAGCCCTGAATAAGTCTTATAACCGTGATACGGTGGCATCCGAGGGCGTTGGCAACAGCATTGTATGTCGACCCCATCTGCACCATCCCAATGGCTCTTTCTCTCTCTTCAGCTGTTAATCGCGGCATATTTCTCGTACTTGTGTATCATATCATGCATTCTAGTCTCTCTTTATACCCTAAAGAATCATTCTACATGTGAAACGGATGCAAATACTGCTTGAATATTGCTGCTGATATTGTTTTTGTAAAGTGAAAATGGAAAAATGTTACTTTGCAAGCAAAAATGTTAACAAAGATAATTTTAGATGTTACTAAACATTTTCTCACAATATCAAAGACACGTTTCACTTGTTTTCACTAAAGCAAATTAGCCGAAAATGTTTGGAAAGATTAAAATCATAGGAGTGATTATTTTACAAGTTTGCACACTCTACAACAGTTGCTTCTTGTTTTAATAGTTGAAAGCTGGTGACTTTGAATGTTTTATCTTTGTCTCAGAGCAGAATTTTATTTCAACCTTTCTTTGGACATCTAAATCACTGTTATTGGTTTATTTCGGCATGGACGAAAATAGGACAATTTAACTCTTCTGAAAAAGATGCATTTCACCAAATATGAATGCATTTGAGAATATGTTTTCGTGATTTGCATAACGCTGTGTTGTTAAGCTTTCTTCTAAACTAATATATTACATTCTAACATATCTTTGATAGTTTTGAAGTAATTCATAAAGGTAGGAGGGTAACGTTTCTTTTGGTGCTTAGTGTACTGGAGACGAATTTTCACTCGCACCCTGTCACAGCACTGTTCCAATGGCTGAATTCAAACAATTGTTTGCCCATTTTTATAAAAAAAATGAATTAATTTTCAAAACCATTACCTTTATTAAAGAGTAGGGGGTTTGGGCTAAACGGTGCCGGACTTAGTGGATGTTCCGATGCAACGAACTGATCTACAAAAAAAGTACACACAAAAGTATTCAAAATTAGTCATAATAATAACACTTTTCAAAACACGTGTATTGTTATGGGATGTTTCTTTTTCAAAGTTGTCCCAACGTGTGTACTTTCGTTTGTGCGTCAGTTCAAATATTCTAAATATGTTCCTACAACAAAGGGCAAGTGTCAACACTTGACGGATGACCTTATGAATCATTTAGCACCACACAGTATATGATTTAGTTGGGGAGCTTTTGGGGAGCCTTTGGAGATCGTTGACGTTAATGGAATGACGTGTACTGCAAGTTGTTCCACAAAACATAAACAATGATGCTAGATGCAATTCCCAATTTGACTTCTACCATGTGTTCCTTTTTGGGAGAACAACTGACCTGCCTTTGCATGTGTTTGTGACAAGTGTCATTGTTGGGACAGTACACACACCTTTTCGCCAGCACCTTGTATCATCATTTCGTGAAAGTTATCGAAAAAGCAATGGTCATTCTAAAGTCAGAATAGTACAGTGGACTTTACTTTTAACAGATGTTTCTATATATCCCTTAGCAAAAGTGTCCGCTGACATATTCCAAAGCTTCGTTTCCACCGTTGACATTTCAAACCATTTTTGTGCTACATTATATGAGGATTATTGCAAATGTCAATATTTCAATCAAAGAACGTTACACAAGATCAACATCCGGTTTCGCTCAGTAGCATAGTTTTGTCAACCCCAAAAGAAATGTTTGGTGGGAGACATTAAAAGTGTGCTGTAAAACAAATCTTTTTCCCAAATGTTTTTCTTTGTTTTTAAGCATTGGAATCTTTGTACTTGTCACAGAAGTCATAATTGGATCGATCACTTGATTGTTTGGTCGTTTTGAGACCGCCATCGCATGGCAGGAGCATTGCTGTGCAGCGTCAGACAAAAGATATCTCCATTTGTATGTAATGGCAGTGTATGAAATAAGCCAAAAACCCAGCCAGACACAGCCAAAACCTTACCAGCCCAGAAGAGATTTAACCAGTCCTTCTTAAATACTAAATAGACAGTGCCAGTGGACATCTGAATATGTTTTTTCACCCGTCCATCGGGCTGGCTAGCTGTAAAATTAGACCGTCCGGGAGAAATCTAGCCCGTCTCGGGGGGTCGGACGGGCGTTATTTCACACACTGATTATAAGCAGAGTTTGTGGTTCGCGGGTGCTACCGGTAGGGTATGACAATGCTTGCCCTTTTCCCGAACACCTGGTGTCATCACTGATTTTCAGTTTAACGGCTAT